TTTTCCTTTCCCCTCATGGGATAAATAAAGTTCGGTGGCGACTCTTCTGTCCTTTCTTTTTCGCCTCCCCGTCGTTGCGCGATGCATTTTTCGAGTAGCGACATAGTGGAAAGTGGAGATTGGAGAATTCACCTTACTATTTGCGTGTGAATTGATTTTATACCTTGGGTCCAGTGAAATGGATTTGAGATGAGTTAAGTCTTAACTATTTAGACCTTTGACCGACCCATAACGGATGTTATAGCAGACAAATTCAGATTTTATAATCATTACTCTTATTGATGGGCGTTTAACATAGTATGAATTCTATAATTTGAACTTGTTGTGGTTAGAATATGATACCAAAGTATTAGTTAATTTGAATTGCATCTTTAGTTCACAGCCGCTCTTTGATTTATCCGAAGAAAAAGGTCAAAAGAGGGAAAACCTAATTTTGCATCGTAAAACAATGCGGGGAGAAATCTAGGTAAGGGGTTGGTTAAGCTTAGGGAAGGTATTAGCACCCTAAACTTCTGTAGTACTCTACAGGAACCTTTTGTTCATTTTTTACTATTTTGCTTTATTATTTGCTTGAGGGTATATTGCTAAGGGATAGAGTGACCTAAAAGACCTAAGGGTTAGTCCTAAGTTTACTCGGCAAGATTCGCATCTTGTGCCTACGTATCCTGGATAGGGAATGGAATCAGAGTAATCGTAGTTCCCCTCAAAAGGGAGGTTAGAAACTTCTTGACTGTGGTCAAGGTTTCAATGGGGAGTAAGCATTTCTTAAGGAAACGCTTACGTGGAGTGCGGCGACTCTTATTTCTACGTTGAAATAGTTAATTTGAAATTAGGGTTAAGAGGTATTCCACGGCGGGAAACCCTAAAACAGAGTACGGCGACTCTTTGACTTAATGCTGGGGTAAATGGCATTTTCGTCCACGGCGGGACACCTAGGCCATTAGGATTTTGAAATGGTCAAACGTTAAGGTTATTGACTCGGCGGTCAAACGGCTAGACCTAATCCTTCGGAAGGGATTCTAACGGCAAATCATGCAAGATATAGCAAATTATTATACGGCAGAATTAAAGTGCGAAAAGATAAAGAAAGCGGTAAAAGAAGCATCGCGATGATCACTCGCGTAAATTACAAATCCCAAAAACAAAATGCGAAAATAAAATAACTGCGATCATGACCTCGCATAAATTACATTCATGAAACAAAAAAATAGTACGAACAAATGAAATATTGAGGAGCTACAACGAACAAACTAATGAGGGTTAGACGAAAATGAAGCGGCTAAATCAAAAACTTTATTTGTTTGAATTTTATTTAAAGGAAAGAATTAAGTTTTGCATTTAAAAGGAGAAATTATTTTAATTTTTGATATTTTTTTAAAAAACTTGTTTTATTTTGATTAAAGAAAAATGCTTTGATGAAGAACAAATCTGTTTTAATTTTAAGGTTTTAAATGAAGAAAAGTTTGTTTTTAATTTTTGTTGTAATAAAAAAATATTTTAATTTTAATGTTAAAAAAAATATTTTAATTTTTTAAAATTTTGTTTTGATTAAGAAAATTGCTTCTAAAAAAAGGTTCTTAATTAAAAAAGAAATGGTTTTTTTCAAAAAAAAAAAAGGGTTTTAATTTTGGCTTGGGGTTTTAAAAATAAAAGAAGTGTTAGTAATAAATTAAAATATAATGTGATTACTAATTATTATTTTAAAAATAATAATAATAAGAAGATAAAAAAATAATAAGATAATATAATAATATGATAATATAATAAATAAAAAAAGAAATAGAAATAGAAATAAAAGGAGTGGGGATAGGTGGATGGTGTTGCTATGTTGTTTTGAGGGTTTGGGAAAAAACTATTTCCCTTCTTTTTAGGGTTTGGGAAAAAACCATTTTCGTTCTTTTTTTTCCCAACCGCCGGCGGCTGTCTTCCATGGTTCAGAGTTTTTCTCCTCATCTTTCGCTCGCATGTCTTCTTCTTCCTCTTTCTAATTCTTTTGTTCATCTGGAAAGAAAAACAAACATTGTTAGAGTGGCTTACCCGTTTAGACGATGGATTTCGTCCGTGGTGGTGACTTCGGCCGATGATGAAGCTATCTTCAGAGGCAGTGGTGGCGGTTCGTTGATCTTGATGATGAAAATTTGAAGGTTTTTTCAAAAATCTCCCCTCTTCTGATAAGTCGTGAGAACGACCGCCGTATTTTTTCTTTTTGTCTCCTACCCCCCTTTTCTCAAATACAACTTATGTTTATATAGGTATCAAATTAGGGTTAACTCTAACCTAATGCCTATTTTAAAGCCCAAGTTAAATAATTATTTAAAACTAAATAAAAATAAAATAAAATAAAAATAAAATTAAAACTAATAATTCTATTTATTTATTTATTCTAACTATTTAGACAAAAATGTAAAAATAACCGGAACTCAAATAAATAAAAGTTGGACGCCCAACTGCTCGAAAAAATAAACCAAATACACTAAAATGATCAGCGCAAATTATACGACTCGGAAAAATACAGCGTTTGATCAAATTTTAAAATAAATTTTACTCGATAAAATAACTTAAACTGTCCAAAATGCGACCGAAAAGTGGTCGAAAAATTTAATTGAGCACGCCAGGTTAAACTACGACAAACGTAGATTAATATGACTGACGTTTGCAGGCTCGACTTTAAAATTTTCCGTCCTCTGATTTTTCACAAAGTTGACTTTTAGTTTGACCGATTCGGCTGTAATTCCGACCAGTTTATTTCAACTGATAAATTGGGTATTATGAAAAATGACAGACATGATATGCTATACAGGCAATGCAAAAAATATGAGGGTAAAATTTGGAGTGCAAAAGAACCCATGTTGAAGAGTGTTTTAGAATGCGTCCAAATTTTATAATTTGTACCCTTATTGATGGGGTTTAGAATGCGTTCGTTTGTAATTTTAAATCTCTCAAAGGGGTTATTGAATTTTATTGTGTGGTATAGATTACATTAACATTTTATATGGACTAGAATTGACAAGATCTTGTAGAGTTTGGATGTGTTAGCTTCATTTACAATTTATATTTAAAAAAATGAACTTTTCTTAGTCATACTCAGTAAGAATGGACTCTAATCTAACTGCATTGTACTTGCTAAAAAGTACAATAAGGTAGTCCTGTGTTTGTAGGACTCTTAGTAGTGTTTAGGGTACGTTGGCAGTATTAAGGGGTAGCTAATGCAAAGTGGCGAGAATATTTATATATGTGTTTTTGTGCGAAAAGTGGAGATCCCTCCTTAGTCCTGAGACTGAGGTATTTATAGAGGCTCCTTGGATCTAAACTAGAGAACCAAATAACCCTTTTTACTCTAGCTTCATGACTAGAAAACATGGTCAGATGAAGACTTATTCTTCCTAAAATCATGGGGAAAGTGGTTGTCTCTCTTTAAGTGGTCCTTGGTCAGTTGTTATTTAAGACATGTAAATGTCCACATTCGATGTGTGAGTGAAAGTTAATTCGGATGGTTAACCACATTTGGGCGGCCTTTTGCCCCGTATCAGGCGACTATTGCCAAACGTCGACGTCATGAATTGAAACTTCGGGCGGCCTTATTCTCATATTGGGTGGCTTGAGTGTTTGTATTATCCTTCTTCTTCATAGATTATTCCCTCTTAGAGCATAATAAAATTATACTAGTACACGCAATTTACAGCAACAAAGGGACTCATTCCCATCCGCTTAGGATTAATGTCGATGTTACACTGTTTGATCTGAAACATTAACTAAACCAAATAAATTTTTGTCTCAACCACCACAACACAAGAAGGGTGCTTAGTGTTGAATGTCACCGTCCGTCAGTCAACGATAATGACATGATTGCTTCACCATGTAGCTAAAAAACAATGATAATATAAGAACAATATTCTTAGTCAATGTCATTCATTGAGACATATCCAATTAGACGATACTCTAATAAGATCTATTGATGTTGTTGTTCAAACATGATTCGTCTCATGACATTTAAATGAGGTCGTGGTTAAAAGTGGCAAAACGGATCAGGTCGATTGGACATGTACGTTTTACCCACACTTTTGTGGAAGACAAACTAAAGGTTTTCCCAAACACCTTCTAATGTGTCCAACCTACCCCACCTCACTTTTTTCAAACATTTGCAAATACATACATTATATTTTAAACTTAAAAAATATAGCGCTCGCAAACCAGCCTCGCCCTTGTAGGCAAGCATCCGCAACTATGCCTGTTCCGCCCTATTATTGCGGACATTTGTAGAATGGGCCTAATCAAGACAGACAAGTCAATTTGTCACCCCTAACTATGACATGCATGATTTAGTTCGATGAAGAAATTTCATATTCTAGAATTCATAAGTTTAAAAGACATGAATTGAATTCTAGATTCCACAATTCGAGTAAAGAATCTCTAAAATCAATAGATGTAAAATTTAAGAAAATTTTACAGGCATGCGGATTTGAATTTAATCATAGCAAGAGAAACTAACATCACTTTTCTGTTATTTAATCTTGAATTTTCTTCTCTCCTTTGATTTATTTATTTCGCAACCAAATGAAAAGCCATAAACATTTGGTTAGCTAAATACATTTTAAATTTGATTCACTTTCTACAAACAAATGTCACCATGCATAAAGAATACAATTCCTCTAAAAGAATTCGTCGATTTCTCTATGCTTTTGGTTTCATAATTATCGACATTTGTTTTGCCATGTACTATGCCAAAAATTTAGTCACCAATGATGACAAATGGCAGTGTTAGTTACAAGCCTCATCATATACTGGTGGGTTTGCTTTCCTGCCAAGTTTATATATATACTGACAAAGGAACAAAACAGGTTGTAATTGAAAAACTGCCAAGAGCATTTCCCATTGCAATTATAGGCCCTGTCTGTACAACATATTAACATGATATAAACTTGAAATTTTGCCAACCCCTGTACCACTTTCAAAATAGTTTCTAACCTAAAATGTAACAGTATTTTGCGCAAAAGAAATTCTCAGCCAAATCCAAATCCTTCATTTGCTTCATGAATTGCAAGCAACAACCTCTCTTCCAAATGTTGTTTTGATGGATACTCGGGCAAATCTAATTGATTGAAACTGCATAAACAAGAATCTGTGTCACTTCAACTCGCATAAAAAATTATTCAAGACAAGATGTAATCTAGCCAAAGCTTGACCCTAAAAAATAATGACACATGATATATAACGAATTGATAGTAAAATGGTACCATGTATGAGCAGAAGGCAAGTGATCAGAACTTCCATATGCCTTGTGTATTTGAAACTTTTGAGATCCTGAAATTCCTTGAAGTGCACTAAAACCCTCTAGAGGCACCTGAAACGTTGGAAGCAAAATTCAGACCCACTAATCATATATTACATGTTCTAACAGCTCTAAGTCTTTAAGTCTTTGATACAAAGAACCAACATTATTAACCATTTTAAAGTACGGGAGCTAAGGAATCCAGCATTTTGAAGACAAAAGCTGGGTGCAACGAAATGTGGCTAGCATTTAATCTTATTCATCTTATACATCCAAATACCAAATAAAAGACTTCCAATATGAAGACCAAATGCAGTTGCTTGGCATAGAAAATCACCGTACAATTTTGGGATACTGCCAATAAAAGAAAAAATGTTTACAGCTCTGAAAGCAATATACCTTGGATGTGCCTGTCACAAACTGCAACAGCCTGGCCTTGTCTTCTTTGCTGAAACCTTGAACAACTTCCCAAAACCATTGAATAACCGGGGATGCAGCACTATATCCAGAATATTCTGTATTTGCTCTCAAGTCATCCACTGAAATAAAATGTAAGAGCAAGTGTTATATTTTCTTTTCCATAAATTAAAAAATAAAATAAAAGACTTATAAATATAGCCAGCGTTGATTTAATGAGCAAGAATGATGTCAATAAATGAAAATGTAAAATAACGAAAGAAACTCCCAATAAAGATTAGGTTAAATAATGTTTACAAACTCACAATCAATATCGGGAAGTCCACTGATCAATAGTTCTAGCTCTTTGTCATTGAATATAGATATCAACTCCTTCGGAATTATTTCACCGAACCCTTCCAAGAAAGCATTTATCTGAGGTCGAATAGCAGTAGTCAGTCGATGCTCAGCAACCAAATCAACATATTGATGTTTATTCTCCTCTGTAACTTTAGTATTCCGTCCACCGGGAATCAACTCATAATCAGTCACCTGGACATATTCATTAAAAGATTAGACAGTTGACAATGAGCAAGTCAATACATCAATATTATCTCAAAAAGTTTTGGAGCAAAGTCAATACTTCTGTTCGTTCATATAAGATCAACTTTTCCTCATCTGCATCAATGCTAAAAGTGAGATCCAGAACATCACTGATATCATTCTGCAATCATACAAAATTAAGATAATGTTGGCAAGGAACAAGCAGGTAACAATTTTTAGAATGTTGATAGGGTAGACGCAAACTAAAAAATGCACTTGCCTCAAGCAGCCATTTCAAATTTTTGAAATAAGCCGGATCAATAGCTTCAATATCATGATATGTAACTTTGGCCCCTAGAATGTGCTTATAGAATGATCGTGTAAAATGGACATCCAAGAGCTGACCATCAAATAATGCTTTTCCAACCTGGATAAAGTAGAAGGGATAAACATATATATGACAAGCAGCATACATTAAAAAAAGGTGCAAAGGAACTCACCACTCTGCCAACAAATTTGAAATAAGACAGATGTTCTGTCTGGTAAACAGAGTTTGGGTTTGGCTGAAATGTTGACTCATTGCCCACAGTAGTAAAAAGCAGTGCTCCTTTGTCAAAAATAACCCTAGACAACAACTGATACCACTCCCTTGTAAGCCCACCTGCGTCAATACCTTCCTCCCCTTGGAAGTGAACAGTCAGCCTTCCCTTCAAATCTTGAGTTGATCTCATTCGAAGCTGGTTGTAAGAATCTTCTAAAACATATGCCCTTCTTACTGATATTCTTAGTGGGCTGTGGTGATGGTCATGCTGATGCTTGATTTTTGATCGGAAGTAGGAACGCTTGTTGTCAAAATCAATGAATCTTGGAATCTTCAGCATAAGGGAAAAAGATTTCTCAAGTAAACCAGGATTTTGCCTGATAAAAGCATTTAGCAGCTTCCTATGCTTCTCTGAAAACTTGACAAAAGCACCATGTTTCTCATCTACTTTCATAGCAGCTCCAGATGTTTTTTGCTGAGTACCTGATGTGCTGGCATCTTCAACATCAGAGATATAAGGAATACAATTGTCATTATTAGCACCTGACTGTGCAGGATGCAGCTTCTCACAAACCACAAAAAAAGATTCTATGTATGGTAAGATATTTTGAGAACCGGCTGGAAGCGGAGGCATGGCACTAGACGGCTTAGACACGGATGAAGTAGAAGGTGTAAAAATCTCAGATGCTGGCTCAGAGTAGGATTCTATCTTGCTTATGCAGCAGCTCAGCTCATGCCACAAGGGCTCTAATGCTGAATTGATTTCAGAAAACTCAAAATGAGCACGAGAAATTCCATCATTCTCTTTCTCAGTCGACGAGGTGACAAAGGAACTCAAGGCTTGCAAAACCCTCAAAATCGAAGCACCATTAGCAGACGTAGTAAGAAGAGCTTTTATTGCTTCACTGAAAGTGCGTAATTCATCCATAGCAGATGAAGTCAAGTCTCGAACTGCTCCTGACAGGTGCGAGACAAAAAGCTGACAGTGAATTGGAGCAATGGACACTAATTTCCTCATTACCTCAGCAACAAGACCATATGCATTATCCGACAAACTGAAAGAAATACATGAAACATCAGATGAAATCTATCATTGGCAAATTCCATCCACAAAATTGTTTTTGCAAGAATGAGTCACCCGAATGGTTTGTAATAATAGGATAATAATAAAATGAAAATAAATATCAAGAATCAAGTATCAAAATGAGTAAATAAAAAATCAGGACTTCAACTACCAGGAATCTTATGACTCCCACCACTATCCAAGAGTCAGGAGTTCTTATGATCATAATTAAGTGCACCAAAACAAGGCAAACTGACAAAACCCAGACAGAAGAATTAACACAATATATATGCATAGGTATAATGATCATACCCTTCTAGTGCAAGCAATGAGCACAGGAGCTGGAGTTCTGTTTGTGGCAGATTACCCAATACTTGCTGAGTCTCACATCCCTTACTACCAGAGGATGTGGGTTTGGACGAATCATCAACTTTAGGACATGCATCAAGACCAGGTGAAACAACAGAATTTGTATTTACATCTCCCTCTACTGCAGAAATTTGTGGGCCCGGTACTGGCTCTGTAGATACATGGGATTTGTCAGATGAACTACACTTGCCTGCAGCACTATCGATGATGACATCCAGTAAATTTAGCAACTGCGAACAAATACAAAGTATATTATGTCAGTATAGTCTTCAGCTATATGAAAAAGGACGCACTAAAGGTACCAATAAAAGAAAATCATCACCTGTTCGAGATGGGCTATGCTCCTCAAATAAAGAGGTTGTTTCAAGAGACTCAAAAGCATTGCAATGGATATGTATTCTTCATCGTTTTCACCTATGTTTACTTGATCTTCAATAACCATCACAGCTTTGCCACGTGCAATATCAGCCCTATCTGGGTCTATTGCTGCAGGACGACGGAGCCTAAGCTGAAGCAACATTTTTGCCACATATGGATGATTACGAGCAAGATATGTGAGAGTTTCAAGTATTCGCCGTGAGAGTAATGGGGGGACTCCTGCACAATCAAATGAATATAGATGGCATTGATAAATTTATCCAACACTAACATTTTAAAGCACATTTTCAAAATAATATAAAGGACCACTGAAGAAAACAAGCTTGAAGACTAAGAAAACAGCAGTGGAATATGTGCACTGACTAAACAAGGGCATTATAGTTAGGAACCTGGTATCTTACTAGAAAGAATAGGGAATATAACTTTGATTGAAAGAATAGGGAATGGAATATAACTTTGAGGGTCAGCAGCCCTCCCTTGCCCAAAGACCCAATTCTCTCACAAATGCCTGGATACTTCCCCTTCTTAATCTCACTTTTAATTCATTCGCAACAACAAAAAAAACTCATATGTTCTAACTGTCACAGCCCAACTAATTAGCATCATAAGCAGATTACTGTCTGTCACTAACAGACACCTAAGTCTAACAATACTTAAGAAAATTAAAATCAGTGTAACTGTCAATTATGACCAAGTACAAATAAAGACAAATCAAGTTTGCTTACCATCAAAAGATTGAGGACGTGAGTACATTACGTTGCTCTGACGACCATACAATCTGTATGGAGGTTCAACTGTACTACAATGACTGGAAGGCTTTCTTACATCAAGGATTAGCAAATCCATCAGAATTTTCACCAAAGAAGTTCTAGTTTCACTATGGGCACAAAGATTCAAAAGAAGCCTCTGCAATTGACCTTTATACAATGGCTGCCAAAAAAACAAATAATAAACAATAAATTTCTGCTTAGTTAAGGACTTGTACCTAGTTCCTATCAAGTAATACCTGAACTAAGCGAAACAACCGAATCATGCCGTGCAATGCTTCAGTCTCAACTAGAGGCTCTCCATCAGCTTCAAAGACCTTAGCTCCACCAGACCTGCGCGAAGCAGTGCTTCGTCCTACACCATCCAGGCCAGAACCGGTACCTTCACCGTGTCTAGAAGTCTCACCTCTCCGGCTTCTAGGATGCCCTCCAAAGAGGGTACGGCTGTATCGATGTGCAAACCTCTCCCTCAACATATTTGCCTCAGCAACAAGTGCAGGAGTAAGGTTGGCAAGGACAGCATCAGATGACGTTAAAAGAACCTGAACAAAATTAGAAAGGATTCATCAAAGACAAACTCACTTTTATGAAACTGGATTCAACCAACAAACTTACCTCTTCTCGTAACTCAGAAGGAAATGTTGCAATTATTGAGACTGTATCCATTTCAACAGGTTGACCTTCCAGCTCCTGAGATTGATGTCGCCTCTGTGCCTGCTGTTGAGCAAGAACTTCAGCTCGAATATCTGGGGGAAGAGCTGCAAGAAATTCTGGATCAATATCGCCACTGTTTTCAGATTCGGCATTCGATGGTTGAGCCACTTGACCCGGCTGAGCTGAAAGGACTTCAGCACGCAACTCCTGAGGAAGAGCATCCAGAAAAGCAGGATCAATTGTTTCTGATCCAGCATCATTGTTCACCTGTTGTTCACCTGATGGGCCATCTTGATCTGCATCTCGGCTTGAATTTTCAGAAACTTCAGTAACACTATGGAGAGATGCATCTCTCCCGCCTAGAGGAGAAGAATGACCAAAAGACACGTTTGCGTTTGCTCTTCTTGTCCGTGCAGACTGTGATTCACCTGCTATCCTATCTGCAGAAACCTGCCTTTCTCCGCCATCATCATGGCCATCGGCGCTTCCAATCTCAACATCAAGACTCCGAAGACTTTCACCAAAAGTTGCCGCACTACCACCACTCTCTTGGCTGACAGCTTCAACATCCCGCACAACTGTATCATTATTCTCAAACTGCATCTCAACTGCTTGTGAGTGAGTGTTTGATACATCTGCTTGCGGCGATCTATTTCCAGCAGGTCTGTTATCAGCATTGTTGTTATTGTTATCAATTGATGCGGGAGCCACTATACCACCTTCTGGAATCGCATTACTTTCGACTGGGGTTTCTATACCTGAACCTCCTGAATCATGCATCTGGCTGATCTTAACTATTTTACTATCACCTGCTTCATTTGAGTTGTTGTCAGATGTCTTTTCAGGAGTGGGTCGCCTTAATTGAGAGACAAGCAACTCCTCAAGACCCTGTGGTACAACACCAGTGTTTGACCTGCCACTTTGCTGATTATTTTCACTCCACATGTTTGAACGGTGTCCATGACGTCCAGTTCTCAGTGATCGAAAGATATTATCCAAACCTGCCGAGTTCTCTGCCGTACGATCTGAATTTTTATTAAAAAAAAGTGTCATTATTGAAATAGGAAATATAACTAAATTGATAAAAACACTATAGTAATAAAATGTCTAGCTAATAAATTCATAAAGGAATTGATTGACCTGGTTGCCCATTAGACTGGTGGAATGAGGAAGAAGGTCCAACTAAAAGAGGATGGCGCGAAGGTGTAGAATTATCACCAGTTCTGCCCAAAAGGTTGTAAATAGATGTTGTCCGTCCAGGACGCCTAGAACCAAAAACTTCAACCGGCATCACATGAAGAGCTTCATTTGGAAAATTATTATCTCTTCCAAGAACCTCAATATGGTCAAATACATTGATTCCATTAATGCCCTCCTCAAGTCTAAGTATAACCCCATCTTCGTCCTCATCATCCTCATCCTCTTCGACTTCATTCAAGAATGCATTATAATCAGGATCAATCTCATCATGATCATCTTGATCTGTGTCGGGATGTGGTAAATGATGGACATCGTCTTCTTCAAAATCATTGTGTTCCTCATCATCTTCATCCACTTCTTCACCCTCATCTCCAGACATATCATCATCATCCTCATCATCATCATCAAGATTTTCTTGGCCATGGGGTTGGATTTCAAATCGTAACCCCACATTTTCAATCCCATCCTCACGTCCTCTGGCATCTTCAGCATTCTCATGCATGTACTCATCCCCGTCAGCAGCAGCAAAGCCCCCATCAAGATCTTGATCATGTTCCATATCATCAGTAACAGCTTCAGACTCACCATAAGACTGAACCGCATTGTATGACTCAACATGGTCAACTGGAAGGGAGTTGTGATTGACCTGAGACGAAGTTTCAGTGGACTGGGATATGTGGTCAATATTATTTGTTCTTCCATGTTGACTAGGATCAGAATGCTTTGTTGAATTATCACCCTTCCCTGCACTCAAATCAACTGAATGAACATGCTCTTTGGTTACCAACTCAAGAGCCTTGACAATTCCAGTAGCAACTTTAGACGAGTCAGCATGGTCCAAGTCTAAAACTTGGAGAGTACGAGTAAAAGATTTAACTAGACCAGCATCCATAAAAGTGGAAGAGGCCTCCGCTGAGATGCTTGAGCCAGAAGGTGTGCGAGCTGCCAAAACATCATTAAGTAGATCAACAAAGACCTGAATTTCATTGCCTGGTGGCTTAACACCAGTACAAGAATCAACAAATTCATTTATGACATGACTAATCTCGGTAAAAATCCTCCTTCTTGCCTCTGTAGAACGAACACATGCAGCCACCATAAACTGGTTAGCTCTGGTAGCTAGTTTCTGCCTCCAATCACCATCAGCTTTTTTGTCCTTTTTGGAATTTCGAAAGTAAGGAAGAAAATTACGAAGAATATGGTAGAATATTCCACCCCCACTTAAACCAGTGTGGCTCTTTTGATAAGTTCCCCTAGTGCTGCTTATTTCAGCATCTCGCCGAAGCAGGACATGAACAGACGATGAGTACATCAATAATATCTCCATCAGAAGTTTTAAAATAAATACTATCTTTGCAAGTGATGCAGAAGCTTCCTGGCTATTGGTTTCATTTCGTTCAGACACAGTGGCAACTGCTTTTCCTTTCCCCCTCACCATAGAGACATCAATGTCCATGTCACTTGATGTTGGTGAGCTAGGGATGGTATTTGAGGCAGTGTCATCCTTCAAAGGCGGAACAACAAAAGTATATACAGACTCAAGAAGAAGCTCTATCACATTTACAAAACTTTGACTAGGTTTTTTGTGACTTTTCACACCCTTTGAATCGTTAATTTTTCCATGACCGTTTCCAGAAGCTGCTGTGGTTGTACTTCCTAGAACAACTTTCCCATCGGTACTCGGTCCTTTGTCTTTCTCCAATGATTTATCCCTCTCCTTTTCTTTATCCTTGGATTTGTCTTTATCACGGTCTTTCAGCAAGACAATGTAAGGTCTTTCACCCACCATTTCAGCTTGGCAAACAGATTGAGCAGCTTGCATAAATATTATTGGATCTCGGGAAATCACAGAAGCTAAATTCAAAAGGAAATTGCGGGGATTGACCCTCCCATTTGGATGCCGGTTGGAAGCATCCACAAGACTGTGTTTTATCTCAGATTCCATTGCTTGCTGGAGAGTTTGTGGATCTTCAAGAACATGACGGACAATAGAAGCAGCAACATTGTCAAACCCAGAGAAGAGGCTACTAGTTGGCAAGGAAAGAAGTGAACTAAACCCACCAGCTTCAAAAAAGGCAAGAGCAACGGAATGATTCCTTGTAAGATTGGAACATAGTAGGAGAAGCGCATGCATTGTGTCTGAGGGAAGTTGGTACTTCATACAACTACAAGCAATCTCAACAAGTCTCTTCTGCTCATGTATATCAGCAAACTTGGAAGACAGGCCCAATGCAGACTGTATGTTGTGTTGCTTATCATCATCAATGGTAAGTGAGGTCTGCGTACTATTCACAACTTCCTTCTTCAACTGCTCTACAATTTCAGAATTCAACCTTTCATCCACTTGCAGCAGCCTGTCTAATGCAAGAAAAGCAGCCGTGACCCATTTAGGAACCTGGCCTTTCTCCCCTTGATCAAGACTTGAATCCCACTGATAGAGTATATCTGATGCAATTTTGATGAAGCCACTTTTTGAAGCAGTTTCCCTTGCTACAAGGTCCTCATTAAGAATTAAAGCAAGAACATGAAACAGTGCAGCCAGCATGGTATCATTTCCATGACTAGAAACCAATCCACATTCCTTGATCCGGTCAACAAGAAAAGTGACAACATTAGATCTATATCTACCATCATCATGAGAGCATATCATTAAAAGCAAATCATGGACAGGAAAAGCTAGAGATTCCTTATGCAAAAGTTTTGTACAAGTTGATAACAGCTCATCAACAGGAGGAAGTTGGACCATCTCTTCGTCAACCTGTTGAGCATTGTCATTTGCTGCAGCATCCTTTATGTCTGATTCAGAGTTTCCAAGGGACATGGCAAGTGCACGGGCGAGTTCATCGTCTTCAGGAGTGTCCTCTGGATGGGAAAACAACCACTCCATTGCCAACTCCACACTATTTGACCCAACTTGCCTTAAAGCTTCTTCGGCTCTAGACCTGGAGAAACCCATCTCTACAATTGTTGAAATTGTTGTCTCGTTAGGGGGAGGCCCGGTAACACGAGCATTGCTGTTGCCATTTACATTCTTTACTTCAACCCCTGAATAAACATGTCTAATCATAGAGATAACTGTTGAAATAAAATCATGGCTACAATCAACAAACTGGGGATGAATCCAAACTGGAAGCACTGCCTTCAACACCATAGACTGGAGGACCTTCACAAATATCTCTGCATTCCGTGGGAAAGGGGAATCACCACTTATAAGGGGCTGTGCAAGCAAGTGCTTTGTTGATGACGATAATATAATAGAGGAGGTCACTAGATGGTCCATAAATTTACCATAGCTAGCTAAAGCACTATAAATCCATGAATGATCTGTATCTTGCTTGTCATCAAGCTTTGCATTCCCATCATCAGTTTCCATAGGTGATGCATGGGACCAATTAACTGCAAAGAGCAATTGACTAGTCGCTTCAAATGTGGTCAATACAGATTGAATTACTCCACGCCCATACAAACAATTCAGCAGAACAGGATTGCAAGAATCTGGCCTCTCCATTAAAATAATATCAAAAAAATCCATGACTTTGCCAAAATAACGGCATTTTGTTGATATTGAAGCTTCAGTTACATGGCCACCAAAATTCATGTGATCTAGAGCAATGCATGCAAAAGTAGAAGCCACTGATTTTGAAGCAGGGCTTACGCTCACAATATCATCACGTCGTCGAGAAGGTTGCAGCATTATTTTTCCCAACTCTTGGAACAGATGGGTAATGTGAAATGAAAGTGATCTGACCATGTCACAACAAGAAGTATAATGCGTCCTCTGCTTGTCACACTCCTTATTATTAGCCCCAGAAACATCCACAGACCCTGACTGATTCAACTGATTACTGGAACCCAACCGCCTGTTTGAAGAACCAATAGAATTTGTTCGGTGTGGAGAACCAGTGGCACGGCCCAAATCTCGATAGAGGTTAATAAGATCAAAAAACTGTGATTCTATTCCCCAGCCTGATGTCCTTCTTCTGAGTAATGGATCAAGAATCTGCCTGAAAGAATTGAACCTTTGATCTTCAGTTTCGTTTGCATCAACTTCAGCCTGTCGTGAATCAGTTGAACAATTAGCAACATCATCCTCTATCTCACGCTTCGTATTTTCAAGTAGAGCAATTTGCCACAAAACTTCACGGTGGACATGACCAATGTTTTCAAGAACATCCTTGCTATCATTTCCGAATTCTGTAAGCAAAGCAGTCATCCAGCGGCTGTCTTTTGAAGCAGCAAGAAAGAGAAGGAACTCAACCAGGAAAAGTGAAGAAAAAGTGTTGTTTTCAGTTGCCATCCTTGGATCCAGTAACAGAGGTCGTGGATCTACATCAAAACCGGTTATCGCTATCTTCAAGTGCTCTCTAAGGGCGGAACAGAAAGCACGTGCCAGAGGAGTGGAGTGATGTTGTGCAAATCCTTTAAATACCATGGTGCTATGCAAAGCAATAGACATGCCATCTGAGGATTGTGCAATAGCTGGTTGTAATAACAGCTTCAATAAAGATTCAATTCCTGATCTTTCCACAAACAGCCGACAAGTTTCAGCATTTTCCATAGTCCGGTGAACCAATACCATCAAATGAAAAATGCATAGCTGAACAAACTGCTCGCCCCTTATCCCTTCAGTGGCAGAATCTTCTGAACCTACCGGGCAGCAATGGTTTTCATTTTCCTTATCTTCAGAATCAGTTTCCATTGCACTGCCCTCATTAGCTTTTTCTGAAGATCCTGTAGCATTACCGTCTCCAAAGGATGCAATCTTATTGATGATTTCAATGATAATGTCAACACCAGTACCTCTCAATGAAGATACATGTCGTAGAAGTTCCTCCACAGAATTTGCCAAAGGAACAATAGCCTCATTCATGGCTAAGACATACCTTTTACTTGTGAAGATGTCAACAAGGAACTGCAGTGATGATGTTTCTTTGACAATCTCTAAGCCTTTGGCATTAAGACAAATGGCCCCAAGACCATTTGGAATGCATGTCAAAGCCTTCGAAGAAGGAAGTATTCCAGATACAATTGAAGATAAAAAAGCCTCAGGAAGACCCATTTCATGCAGAGCAGAAAAGCATGTAGGATCTTTGTGGATCATTTCGCTCATAACAGTAACAGCTGAATAGTAAATGTCACCTCCAAATTTATTTACATTCTGGAAAATCGAGACCAGAGTCGCTGGCAATTGGCCATCATTAGAGTGTTGAGATCTGGTAGGGTTAGCAGGGTTATAAGTTGCGGAACCAAGTGCCTTAAGGGCCACTTTTATGAGTCTCTTCTGACAGTGAAGCATATCAGTATTATGTCTTGTGATTTCACCAGTGAGCATCAAATTATCATTTTCTCCAACTAAACCAATGACCCTGTGAACCTCAGTTTGCAATCTTTGAGCCAAAAGCTCAATACCTCCCAACTCTTTAAACAAAGATACAGCCGAGCTACTATAATCCATAAGCTTCTGAAGGGTTTTCACAGCAAAACAAACCAGATGAAGGTGTGCAAGATCAGAATCTTCCAGTAGAGGTAAGAATGTGGGTACCATGCCAGACCCTCTAATATTAGTCCCGGAAGATGACGTTGACACCACATGTAGCAAATAGAACTGAAGAAGTGCCTCAACAAAAGCAAGGGAAGATGGATCATTAGAACTCTTCAATGACAAAATAGCTCTCTGAAGCACATTTAGAAGAATCATGCGATTGCCTCCAGTAAAAGTGATACTAGATCCACTAAGAATCCTTGCCCGCTCATGAGATGACGTATATGCTGCTAACTGAGCTCCTAATGCAAGCATTGCAAGTGTCCTGATGGTTCCAGATATGGTTTTTTCGGAACGTACAGCTTTAATCAATTCATTTGTATATTCTGGTTCGTTGGCAAAAAAGGAAACAAGCTCGTCCTGAGCATCATTGGACTGGACAAGCACAATGAAAGCAAGAATACAAATCTTGTTATAAAGCCTGCTTATGCTTCGAGCCTGGAAGGCACGAGCATATCTGATTCTGGTGAGCAATGAGAATCGGAGCTCTGGAGGAACACTATACTGTTCAATGCATCTCTTCAACAATGGCAAGTCATCTTCTTCACACAAATGCATATCGGGCAAGTGTATAACTCTCAAGCTTGAGGAAACTGTATCTACATTTTGATCCTTGCTTTGGGCACAGGGTCCGTTCACCTCAAAATAAAGGGTAGAACCTACACGGTAATTGGAATGGTCGCTGCCATTTTCAGCATCAGAAGGATACGGACATGGTGCTTCATCATGGGCTTTCTCATTTGCCATGACACAAGAGTACAGCCCAAGGCCCTCCTCCTTGCTTCCCCACCCTTGCGCTAGGGACAGGAGATAGCTGTTCACTGAACCACAACCAACCATCTTTGAACTTCCATGAAGCTTAGAGGAATTTACTTTTACAAGCGCAGAAAGAGTTTCTAATGTCGCAATAATAATCTCAGGATCTGTTGAGGCAAGTAAAAGCTTGAAGTGCTGAAAAGAAAAGGAAATACATTATATTAGGAAATAATAATATCAAATAAAAATGAATGAATCACTTGACTAAAATCAAAGATAACATGAAATAAATAAATAAAATTAAGGCTGCAATTGAAATAGAAGATAATTTCTTTATAATTTACCTCTAAACCATCAATTGTACTCTTGTTTGGACAGTTTTCAAATATTATTTGCATCACCCGTAGTATTTGTAGAATTGCATGTTTAGGTAATGGGATGTCGTCTTCTAGATTATCTGACAGAGTAAGGTCATTTCGACATGACAAGTATGTCTTGAAGTATGTATCAAAATGAAGCAACAGTGGCCTCCAGTGATGAAAATTCCCCTGAAATAGAAATAATATTAATAACGTAAGATGTGTGAGGGGGGGAAAATAAATACTACATGACGCAAATTATCAAGTCGTTATTACCTTATTGTATTCCCACCAAAAGCCAGAGAGAGGTAAAGCTATATCTTGTAATGGACATTGGATGACCTTCTCAATGAAAGCTTTGATCTTATGAGGCTGAAATCAATTAATTGCTAAATCAGATTACATTACACCAGTATGAAGGGAGGGAATGAAATTATAAAAAAAACCATAAATTCTATCAGGAAATAATTTGCAAACAATTCTCTGTACAATAATTCAGGCCACACATGACACAACAAATGAGCAACCTCCCAGCTAAACTTAACTTCAGATTATCAATGGCCCCTTCCCTAATAATCGAGGTTGAGATTTTTTTTAAAAAGCGAGCATCAAGAGGCTCCATGGGTATAAATTTAGGCCCGTCAAAACTTTCACAACCATTGTTCATTTATGAGATAAGCAAACTATACTAGCAAATGAAGTGAATGATTGATGACATAGGCCGTTAGTATGTGCCGGTGTAATATACAAAGACAGTATATCCCAAACAAATGTTATGGTAGCAAAATTGGCAAAACGTGTTATGATCTTTATTATGTCATATAAATTGGTAATGGATAGTATAACAACTCGATGGGATTTTAAATTTAAAAAAAAAAAGTAAAATTAGCCATACTTTTTTTTTTTTTGCAAAATACCTGTTTCATAGGGATCCTGTGTCAATTGTTTACTGTTGTCAAAAGCCAAAACTATTTTTAAAAATAAAATACAATCTCGGTAAGAGTAGTAGAGAAGCAAGATGCATATTCAGTACTTACACTAGATTGTATTGCCAATATAGTTGATTTTTATTGTAGATTTTGGAGAATGTATGGAGAAAAAAGTCATTTTACAAAAATTAATCTCCCCCAAGCATGCAACTATGCTATTCAATCTGGCTTGATGATTTTCCTAGGTAGAGAATAATAGTTTTTGGACTAACTATAAAGGCATTCTTAAATATTAGGCCAAAGTAAGCTAGATTGCTTGCTATTCAAACACAACAACAAATAAAATACTCCCTCCAATTTTTATTATAAGTCGCTTTGAGAAAAAGGTGTACCAAATTATAAGTCATTTTACAATATCAATGAATCATTAATGTTATTTTTTCTATTATACCCTTAAGTATTTATTACTCTTTCTTCTTTTAATTCTTTAAATTTTTATTTCCATACCATTAATGAAAAGACAATTTTGTAAAATCCTACATAATTTTCTTTTTCATACAACAATAATTACATTTCTTAAAACGTGTTAAAAAGTGTCAAAACAACTTATAATATAAAAAACGAAAGTATATACCGCAACCGCTGATTAATATTTACACTATAGATTCAATTTTATGTAATATTGACTTTCCGAAATATATAACCAATCACAACCTAAATCCACATAACTTCCAGTTAAAAGATTCTCTTTTTCTAGAAAAAACATAACTTCAGGAGATACCATAAACTTTTGCTCTTGAATAAGTAACAAAAAAAAAACTCATTTCTGCTTTTTTTACTTAGATTTTAGACGTTTAAATTTTTTAAAAAGAGCCATTTTTAAAACCCAAAAATAATATCTATAATTTGACCAAACGCCCATAGTTTTATATGCAATTTCAATTTATAACCAATAAGTCCAAAATACATATGCTACTCTAAGTCAGTAAATGCTATATTCATAACAAAGAAACCAACCTATTCTATTAATTTCTCTAACACATACATAATAGCTATGTCGGCGCCGCATAGCACCGACCCTGTAAAATGCTATGGCTGTAATAGCCATTATTGCAAAGATTATCAGCCGGCATATAAAGCAAAACATAAATACTTAAAAACAGAAAAATACACAAAATTAAAGAGACTTCCATACTTAATAATTAAAAAACCTTAAGTACATAACTTAAATAGAGAAGAAGAAGAAGAAGAAGAAGAAGAACATAAGAGAACTGAACTAAAAGAAGGAAGAAGAACAAATCAATTGTTTATGAGCAAGAACGTAATAGAATAAAAAACAAAACATTACTCTTAAAAGGATTCAAATTGACATTTATACCCTTAAAAATAGATAAGGGTTTAAGAAAAAGATAACGGTATGCAAAAAGATTTGAAGAATTTTGCCCCAAAACCCTAATAGTGGACACAATGGTGGTTTGGAGCCAGAATTTCGCTGCAACAACGAAGATAACGGTTTAAAAAAAGATTTGAGGAATTTTGCCCCAAAACCCTAATAGTGGACGCAATGGCGGTTTGGAGCAACAATTTCGCTGCAGCAACGAAGATAACGGTTTAAAAACAGATAACGGTATAAAAAAAGATTTGAGGAATTTTGCCCCAAAACCCTAATAGTGGACACAATGGCGATTTGGAGCCACAATTTCGCTGCAATAAACACCCACAACGACCGCTATTGCAAATGACCGGTCAAAAGCATCGAGTCAAACCCTACCTCCACCACGCTATTCCACTACGCACGCTATTGAAAACATAACATGATAGAACATTCACGAACTTCAAATCAAAGAATTTGTCAAAACACTCCAAAACAAAAACAAACAAACAAAAAAAACATACGTCACCAATAGAAAAACAACCAATTTCGCGACTTACAAAAGCCTAGCATATATTGCATATCGGCGAATAAATAACCGAAATGTTAATAGAAAAAAACAAATGCTAACATAGAAATAAAAATAGTCTTATAAGCTTGCATTCAATGTTTAAATGTTTAAAAAATGTATTACTCAAAACAAATACAACCAACTAATCTCAAACTACATTATGTTAAGAAAAATACACTTTCTTATCAATGAAACAGATAAGTAACACACAATAACAGTTAAATTAAAGGGTTTAAAGAATGAAAAAACAAAAAAAGCATCCCCTTGAACTCAAATAACAAGTTAAACAATAAACAATGAGTGCTAGAGAAAGAATAGTGACTAACAGGTTCGGAATCAAGTTTGATAGATGGACCAATGGCGCCTTCGTTGGATAGAAGTTGACGAAGCCTTGAATGCCAACTCGATCTCAACGTTGTCATCTAACCTCAACTTCTCTACTCTGAACAACTACTGCCACAAACAAATACAAATGAAAACCCTCAAAAATCAAATCAAAACACAAAAACAACAAAGAATCAATTCCTAAAACGAAACGCAATCGGAAATTTATCTTCAGAACAAACAATGAATCGTATTCAATTATTCATCGCATAAGAAAAAATTAAAAAAACGTTGAATCGATGGATACCTGGGAGATGAGATAGTTAGAGATGGATGCATACACATCCGTAGTGAGAGGAGAACGGAAAACGAAGAAGCGAAATCGGTAGAAGAAGGATTTGGATTAGAAATCGGTGGAAAATAATTGTAAAAATGTTTTGTACACAAGGTTTAGCCCTTTTCGAAGCAAGGAATTGAGTTTGTGTATATATAGTGAGAACTGACGCATACTCTCGCTACTTCGGGTGCAAGAATATACTACCAAGAAATTGTGGAAACGGGGGTTTGATTGATTTTACCCACTATAGACCCTAGGTTTTGGCCCATTCTAATACAAATTTTTGGTACCTAATCAAAAATATTTTGATGATTAACCATTTAGGATTCCTATATTAATTTTTTATAGATTAACTCGCTTATATATTTACAATTTGTATTTTTTTCGAATTTCATTTGAGTGTATGATAAACTCTAATTTCTTTCTGGTAATTTGTCCGTGTTCAACTTTAAATCCATGTAGTTTGCTTTTTTTTAATTAGTTAATTGCGATTGTGTTTTTGTACATGATTCTTTGAATTTTATAATGTTGTGTATTTATTGTTTGATCATGATCCGATTGTTGTATGTTTGGGATTCCGCTTGCTTGTGATTTTGTGCTTTTATCAGTGGGTTCACTCAGGCATATTTTTTTGTCTAGTTTGTATCTTTGTTTAGCTTTTATGGTATTGAAGATTCAACTATGGGTGGACAACGCAAAATTTCGATGTCGTAAAACATCATTTAAAGAAAAGTGTCTAATGATAAATTCTAACACATCCTTATCTTTGTAGGTGTTATATTAGTCGGTGATGGGTAATATGAATGTTTTGAAACTGGTGAAAGAAAAGGAAAAAGAATAGTGAAATGTTCAGAATTTGGTTGTTTGCACACGTGAAACCATGGCGAGTTTATTAAACATTTATTGAATGCATTTGTTTTGAGGTGTCATCGTTGTCTATAACACTGCGGAAAACGTCGATGGTTTTTCTGGAAAAAAATCTTTTAGACACTACACCATTAAACATCGTCTTATTTCCAAGAAGAATGACTCTAATTTTACTAAAAAAACTTTAACATTTTAGAAGTTTGTGTTATTGGGATGGAAATAACTAAAAAGGAACTTAAAAAAAGAAAGAAAACAATTATCTACATTAAATGGCTAATTTCCAAAATGATAAAGCCACTATTTAATTTTAATTTTGCTATACACTTATGAGTTTACTTTTTTTTTTAATTTCAATGAGTGTTATTGGGATGGAATGGCGTATTAGTGTGGTCTGAGTTTTAACAGGGGTGAATCTAGTATGGCATGAGGGGGTGCACTTGCACACCCTGAAATTTTAAAATTTATACTAGTTTTTAAAAAATTTATATTTTGACCACCCTGAATTTTTATTTTTGCACCTTAGACCTAACACTCTAAAATCTTAGAATTACTCTCAGTTTAATTTTTCACTTCTCTCTCTACTTCTCTCACTAACCCTAGTTTCTCTCATCTTTTTCATTCACGGTTCCAAATCCAAATTCCTTTCTTACCACCATCATTGCCTACGACGGAGAAACAACCATACCACCATCAATTTAATCTTTTTCTTTCATTCTCCCGTATTATTCTCCTTCTGCAACAGTGTACCAAACTTGCTCATGCTTTCACTTGCAATTTTTTATCGATTTCAGATGTGCTTTTGCGTTCTTCTCTGTGTTATTATGTCAAATCAGAGTCAATTTAGAAGCATTTATCTTCAACATTGAAGTTATTAAGGTAATATACGTATGATTTTAGGGTTTTGTTAATTTAGGGTTTTTTTTAATTAGAAATTAGGATTTGATAATTTTGTTGATAAATTAAAACTCTGTTAATTTTAAAATCAGAAGAAATTAACAATGTTGCTTGGTTGAGTGTTTGTTGTTGTTGTTATGTATGTCCCTCTATTGATGTCTGCTCTGAGTTGTTGTAGGAGGCATTTAGTGGTGGACTGGTGGTCAGTTGATGCCTAAGTAATAAGTTTAATATTATTAGTGAGAGTGTCGCATTCTTTTCAGCCTAGTTGTATATTTTTTATGCTCAAATATTTTCTTTTGTTATGTTCAGTTCATATTATGGAATTGTGAATCTAAGACTTGTATTTTGTATTATTTTGATTTAGCCATTTCTAATACCTAATTTTAATCTAATAAATTTTTTGCCTTACAAAAAAAAATTAAAAAAAGTATGAAAGAATTATATATATATATATATATATATATATATATATATATATATATATATATATATATATATATATATATATATATATATATATATATATATATATATATATATATATATATATATATATATATATATATATATATATATATATATATATATATATATATATATATATATATATATATAGCAATATTGAACGGATTGCATAAGCTATTTATAAGGGAAGGTAGTTTCTCTTTCTTCTTTTTTATATCAAAGAAAATAATATACATGTTTATGAGTGAATAAATTTAATATTGGTTTGTATATGCTATGTTATAACAAATTTGAGCATTCCTAATTTAGTAGCAAATTTTCTTTCATTTTCTAAGTTGTTTCTGGTTCTAGTTTTTAGTACTTTAATTCGACGCATTTCATTAAAAAAAAATATATAAAAATATCATAAAAATGTGAATCAACCATGAGTTTTTTTATTGGACCAGTTTGCAAAAATATATAAAGAGACTATTAAGTTTATTGTTTATATCTTTTATACATACTTAACTTACATTTTTCTTATTGTTAATATTTGTTTGTTTTGTTTTGTTATAGGAGATTATGGAGAATTTTTTTTAAGAGAAAATTATCACCAAATGAGCAAAATTCTAGTTCTCAACAACATGTTCAATTTAATTTGGAAGATTTACAATTAGATCCTGGAAAGTGGCTTAAAATATCAGCATGTCATCCTAATGATCAAGAGATAATTCGCATAACATATATACAAAAAGGGTTGTGCCAACCTACTAAACATAATTTTTCCCAGAGAAGAATTGGAAACTCATTAAGAAGATTTTGTTCTTCATGGTTTAATGAATTTGGAAATTGGTTAGAGTATAGTATAGAAAAGGATGCAGCATTTTGTTTATGTTGTTATCTTTTTCGACTCAATTTTGGAAAACAATCTGGTAGTGATACATTTGTAACAGAGGGATTCACTAATTGGAATAAGAAAGATAAACTATCATCACATGTTGGAGGTCCAAGTAGTGCTCATAATATTGCTTAGAAGAAATGTCAAGATTTGATGAATCAAAATCAACATATTGAAGTTGTGATATGTAAACAATCTAAAAGTGTTTGTGACCTATATAAAAGGTGGTTGACAGCTTCCACCGATTATATTCGTTATCTATTAAAGCAGGAATTGACTTTTTGTGGTCATAATGAATCAATAGAATCAAGGAATCAAGGTAATTTTCTAGAAATGCTTAGATGGTATGCTAAGAGGGGGAAAAAAGTAAGACAAGTTGCATTAGAAAATGCCCCTGAAAATCAAAAAATGATTTCTCCATCAATTCAAAAGAATATTGTTAAGACAGCCTCTTTAGAAACCACTAAAGTTATCTTGACTGATCTTGAAGATGAATTATTTTTCATTCTTGTTGATGAATCTCGTGACATATCTAATAAGGAACAAATGGTTGTTGCTTTACGTTACGTCAACAAAAATGGAATTATTATTGAGAGTTTTTTGGGAATTGTTCATGTTAAAAGCACAACAACAGTAGCTTTGAAAGTAGTCGTTGAGAAGTTGTTTTGCAAACATGGTCTTAGTACTTCAAGAATTCGTGGACAAGGTTATGATGGTGCTAGTAACATGCAAGGAGAATTTGGTGGTCTAAAAAGTTTGATCTTAAGTGAAAATCCATCCGCATATTATGTACATTGTTTTGCTCATCAATTGCAACTTACATTAGTTGTTATTGCCAAAGATCATCTTCAAGTTTGTGGTGTTTTTAACTTAGTGTCTACCTTAATAAATGTTGTTAGGGGTCATGCAAACGACAAGACATGCTTCGTGAAAGACAAATAGAGAATATTAGGGAAGCATTGGGAAAAAGAGAAATTGCTAGTGGGCAAGGTCTGAATCAAGAAACTAATCTCAAACGAGCTGCTGATACTCGATGGAGTTCTCATTTTGCTACTTTGACCAATTTGATATTGATGTATGATTCTGTAATGGATTTTCTTGACATTTTGAAAAAAGATTCAACATTGCTAAGAGAACGAAAGACTGAAGCAAGTGGTCTTGTACTTTTGATGAATAATTTTGATTTTGCACTAACGTTGCATTTTATGAAAAATATTTTGGGTATTTCAAATGAATTGTCACAGGCTTTGCAAAGAAAAGATCAAGATATCATCAATGCTATGAAATTGGTTAACATCACAAAGTAACGGTTACAAGCTTTAAGAGATGATGGATGGGAATATTTGTTGGATGAGGTAAATTTATTTTGCAATATGCATGACATTCACATTCCGAACATGGATGATACATACTTTTCGGGAAGAACAAGGTGTGGAAGTAATGTCGAGTCTATCACAATAGAGAAACATTATCACATTGAATTATTTTATACTATCATGGACATGCAACTTCAAGAACTTAACAATCGTTTTAATGAGACAGATAGTAGGTTTCTCATTTGCATGTCTTGTTTGAATCCAACAAATTTGTTCTCTTCTTTTGACAAGGAAAAATTGGTTGAATTTGGAAAGTTTTATCCACTGGAATTTTGTCAA